GGCAACCCAACAGAATTGCCTCAGCAGCCATTCCAAATCATTTTTACAGAACAAACTACAGCTATAATTAACATTTAAAATGTGAACTGTACTACAAATACATTAAAATGTGCAGTATTTTGGTTTTTTTTAAAGTGGGTCCCTTTTTTAAATCACTGCTTAAATGATTAACTAAACACATGCAGTACAAGAACAGATCTACAGGATATTCTATCAAAATATAAAAAGCAAATGACTAAAATACCCTTTGAGTCAGCTTCAGAGAAAGTGAGAGAATTGATGTGTGTCTGCGTGTCTGTGCTGCACAGCTTTCAAAGGTGCCTAAAATCTTCTAGCCTACTGCAATCTAATGAGAGTTTCCAGGAAAAACATTAGAGAGCATTACTGCAATTATAAATTATGCAAAAACTCAAGAGCGTCAGTTCTGCACCACAACAGTCAACAAAAATTCTTGTCTTGGAGTTGAAGGTCATGACTTTAGACTGATTGGGGTTGCAGACTGTGAAAAATAGTGTGAATTCAGTCCACATTTAGGGTTAGGGTTAGTGCTAGGGAATCATGGGAATTGTTATTTTTCTGAGACATTGAACCTTCTCTGTCAGAGAACTCTAGTGCCACAATAAAATTCAGTTCCCATGATTCCCTAACCTTAACCCTAACCCTAAAAGTGGACTGAATTCACACTATTTTTCACAGTCTGCACAAATCCTGAAGCTTCTTTTAATGCAGCATCCAAACATGATTTCCAGCATTCACAAAGCAGCTAATTGCAGTAATAATCTTATTATAGGTTTCACAGAGTGGGCAATGATTATTAGTTATACACCATGATTAGCATACATGATGCCTTCCAGAGTTACATTGACTAGAAGAGAATGGCATTACCTAAAGTAGGGACTTTCAGATTGCATTCTATGGACACTTAGGGCCTTTACAGACTGCCAGAAATAATGCAGCTTGAGACCACTTTAAGTGCCCTGACTCAGTGCTAGGGAATCATGGGAACTGTAGTTTATTGCAGCACCAGAGCTCTCTGACAGAAAAGGCTCAATGCCTCAGAAAAAACTACAGTTCCCATGATTCCTTAGCACTGAGCTAGGGCAGTTAAAAGTGGACTCAAGCTACATTATTTCTGGCAATCTGTAAAGGCCCTTACATGTAGCTTCCTCTATAATAATAATAATAATAATAATAATAATAATAATAACAACAACAACAACAACCAAAACAGTTGAACTGGCTTAGGGAATAATGGGGCACATTCAGGAACATTGATTCAAACTGTAAGGCAAAAGGGACTCTGAACTGAGCACGGATCCTGGACCACACCTCAGAATCCAATTTACTGCCTGCCTACAAAGCTGATCCACAACAGACAGATAGGCGTGAAATGGATATCCCAAAAGTAAAATATGCAAAGTTTACTGATCTAATCCACTGTTGCTCTGAAATTCTTTCTGTTTTAAGATGGGATGGGAAGAATGAATGTTGTTGGACTGTAATTTCCAGCATTGCTCACTACTGGCTAGGCTAGTTAGGGCCACTCTCATCTGTAGGCCTGTATTTCCTCACCTGTTTTAAGATCTGCATGCCCCACACAATGGATTAATGAACCATTTGTCCATACAATGCCTTTGGTTTTCTTTACTCCATGGACTGTGCTTGTTTATCCTTTCTAAGTAGGAGAGAGTCCAATGAGACATTTCTTCTTAAAAGTAACAGTAATATCCGAATTTCAAGTGTGTGTGAATAGCACCTTATGTTCTAGGGTCAAAATTCTATTACTCTGCTGGCACAGCTGCACTGACAACAGGGTGATGTCAAGCAGAAAGAGTCAGCAGTAGCACATAAAGGGGGAAAAAACAAAAACGGTGGCAACATCAGAACTAGATACTAAGGAAAGGATGGTTTGGACCGGGGTAGGCAACCTTTCCCCTTCAAGGGCCGAGGGACTTCAGCTCCCAGAATCCCAGGAGCTATTGGCCAACATGGGACTATTGGCCAGCATGGCTGAGGCTTCTGGGAGCTGAAGTCCCTCGGCCCTTAAAGGGGAAAGGTTGCCTACCCCTGGTTTGGACAGTCACTTGTCTTGAGGTATAGGATATTGTCCAAACTATCCCTTTCATAGTGCTTTGTTTTCATGGATCCACCAGAAGCCACTGTTTGAGAAATGGGTGGCTTGGAGACAGCAGACTTCTCTTCACATCTAACTGCCAACACTGTGTCCCAGCACAACCACTGAAAAAGTTACACCTACTCATGTAAAGGACCATTACACAAGTGGTGCACCACTATAGGATCTTTAACCAACAAATTTATTGGATAGAGTCCACTTCATCAGTTGCATCTCATAAAACGGAATTTCATCCATGAAAGCTTAATCATTATGTTTTTTTAAAAGTATTTTAGTGCTAGAAGACTGCTGCTTCCAGTAATTGCTTTTGACCACATGTGTAGCCTCTCTGCTCAACTAGTGTGATAATGTAATGCGATGTAACATAATGTTCAAATGAGATCTGACCATGTTTACCTATAAGTGCCAATCTAGCAATCTGCATATAGTCTTGAGGTGAGACTGCACAGACAGAAAGACCCCTGTATGGTTTTGCTCCAAAGTTGTTTTACACACAGTAAAGGGAAGTGTGTGCTATCTGTGGTTTGCTCCTACAGTTACTGTGTTGACATTTTCATTATGAAACCACATCAAACACCTACTGAAATCTGAATTCATCAACATGTGCTTAAATGTAAATCTTAAGAAGTCTCTATCATATCAGACAAGACCATAAATCTAATTTTTATCATTTCTTGTCTTCTTGGTATTCCAGTATTTGGTTATGCCAATGAAAAGCTTGCACATTACTAGGGCAGTGTTTTTTGACACTGAGCAATCAGATAGATCAAATTGTTTGACAAAATTATACAGTTCTGATCGCATTTGTCAAAACAGTGATGCAACAATGTTATATAATTGTAGGCTAAAATAGGCACATCATTTGACTATGGGCCTTTACAGACTGCCAGAAATAGTGCAAATTGAGGCCACTTTAACTGTCCTCACTCAATGCTAAGGAATCATGGGAACTGTAGTTTATTGTGGCACCAGAGCTCTCTGACAGAGGAGGCTCAATGTCCCAGAAAAAAGTACAGTTCCCATGATTCCCTAGCACTGAGCCAGGACAGTTAAAGTGGACTCAATTTGCACTATTTCTGGCAGTCTGTAAAGGCCCTAAAACACATTGCCTAGAAATTTAATTAGGGTGCGGGAGGATCCATTTCTAGTCATTTTCTAGTAATTTTCAACATGGCAGGTTCCATGTATGCTGTTTTTCCATACTAAACATAAAGGCTTACTCTGATGCACTGCTTTGGCAATACAGTACAACAGATCTATGGAAGGCTTGAGGAAAAAATAATAAGATGTATATTTGGCTATTGTTTTGTCAAGTCAATGCTTTTAAAATACCTTTAGTAAGAACACAATGTTGCACTCCATCCCTATTCCATGAATTGAGTGCTCCCAGAGGGCTAGAGTATCTGCAGGAGGTCCCTGCAGGACCGTAGGCATAGGAGGCAAGGAGGACTTTCAGGACTGAATAAGGGATAAAGGAATTTCTCTTCTATTTTGCTATTTACTGCTATAGTGTTGTCAGCCCAAACCAGAGCTATATACACCTATTAAGTAGCAGGAAAATAGTTTTAGACTGAAGGTACACTATACCACTTCCCAGGTAATTCTTCCACTCTAGGACACTTAGGGGGGAAGCAGCCTGGCGGCACGGGGCCGCCCTGGGAACGTGCCCCGCAGGATCGAGGCATCCCCACACCTCGATCCTGCGGCGCTCCTTCCCCATCCCTGAAAGAAGCGCTAAAATAGCGCTCCTTTCACAAGTCAGCGAAAGTGTGCCTCAAAAGCGTGAGGCGCACTTTCGCTGACTTATCCTCCACAGCGTGTGCGGACGCTGCAGCGGGAGGTTGCCCCTGGAGCGCCGGCCGTGCAGAGGGCCGGCGGCTCCTAGGGCAACCTCGGGAGGAGGAAGGGGTGCCGAGCGTGTGGCTGCCCCTCCTCTTCCCTGCCTCAAGGATGGCTTAATAAGCTGTCTGCCGAGGCCCTTATTTAAACCAGCCCCTGTTTAAAGGCCTCTCATGCTATCAAGCCAAAATTCTACATATCAATCTCAGACAAATTAATCAAAAGACTGACATTTCTGGCTCCTTTGGACTATTCTCTCTCTGTACGCTAAACTGCAACATTCTGCAAGCAGCTTCAGAGGTATATTTGTTACTGTTGTTGTCTTTCATCTCTCTTGTAATTTATAATGTCTACATTTCTATGGACCTATCAGCCTACTATGTACGTAGAAGGGACACTCTTATTTTTGGGTGGCCTTGTTTCATATCAAATGAACAAGCACTCAACAACCTGAATTTGCTATCAGATGGATGATTACTTGTGAGTCAGGAATTCTGCTTTAGTCTGTGTGACCTAAAAATATTCCTTGCATTAAGGCACTGAAATAATGGGAAGGGAGGGGGGAACAATATCTGTCCCTCCCATCCTTTACATTCATGTAAAAGTCCTGGATGGCACAAGTAGTTATTGTGTGACTTCAAGTCATTTTCAACTTATGAACACCCTAAGGTGCACCTATGGGGTTTTCTTGGCAAGATTTGTTCAGAAGGGGTTTGCCACTGCCTTCTTCTGAGGCTGAGAAAGAGTGACTTGTGGCCTTTGCAGACTGCCAGAAATAGTGCAAATTGAGTCCACTTTAAATTGAGGCACTGCCCTGGCTCAGTGCTAGGGAATTATGGGAACTGTAATTTATTGTGGCACCAGAGCTCTCTGACGGAGAAGGCTCAATGTCCCAGAAAAAAATACAGTTCCCATGACTCCCTAGCACTGAGCCAGGGCAGTGCCTCAATTTAAAGTGGACTCAATTTGCACTATTTCTGGCAGTCTGCAAAGGCCCTTGCTTAAGGTCACCCAGTGGATTTTTTCCTGGCTGAGCAGGGATTTGAACCCTGGTCTGCACAGTCACAGTCCAACACCGAGACCACTACACCACACTGGCTCTCCCGTAGAAGTACAGTTGTCTCTTGCTATCTGCAGGGATCCATTCTGGACATCCCACCCCCCATGGATAGCAAAAACATGAGACTTTAAATATCATTCTTTTTAATGGGCGTGCAGATATGCCTGCACATGCAGCCACACGCACATGCATCCATTCAATAAGCGGGGGCTTGCCATCTGCAGAAGCTCATATCCATGGATGGCAAGTCCACAGTTGGCACTGGTGCACTGTATTATCTGATATCAATCTACTGAACATAAAAACATAAGGAACAGGAGATACGTAACCAGCTACACAATATTTATTTTCAAGATTTCTTTACTCTGACCAGGGAAAAAAAAAACAGTTGTGAAATATCAATCATTGTCAATAGAAAGATTCAGGTTATAATCTCCCCATCTGCATCTGATTTGACAAGATGTAACTTTTTGAACTGTCCCTTTACCACCCCATCTGTTCCATTTGTGAAATACAGTTGCCCCTCCCAATTTGTAGGGGATTCCAGAACCCCCCGCAAAAATGGCAGCTCACAAATATTTGAGCCCCATTGAAAATAATGGCGCGTGGGCCCATGGCATGTGTGCAGGGCTGCGCGCGGGCATGCACAGCATTTTCATTATAGCCGCTTGTCCCTCCCACAAAGAGCAAGACCATAGACTTGAAGTCTAAAAACGGGGAGGGACAACTGTACTGTTAAAGGCCTAAATATCTACCCTAAAGGCACCAGATCCCATCTGATCCTGGAAGCTAAGCAGGGTCAGCTCTGGTTAGTACTTGAATGGGAGACAGCCAAGAAAGGTCATGTGCTGTAGGTATATTTCAGAGGAAAGAACTGGCAAAACCACATCTGAAGATCCTTTGCTTAACAAAGTCCTATGAAATTCTTCGGGTCATCATAAGTTGCCATGGAATACCACAGAAATTGAACAAGGAATGTTCTAAAACCTACTTCTTAGGAAAATAAATATGTTTGCAAGTCTTACGTAGTTAAAAGTTCTAAATATTACATCCAGATATCTGATTAGAATATGAAGATAGATATGTATATGTAGGAGAAACTTTGTCTTTACTTTCACTTTTGTCTTCAGCAGTTCTTATTGAACAATAGGTCAGCTACTGTGAAATTTAAATTTGCAAAATTACATTGTGTGGTCCAAAAATCTTGACTTCTGTTACATTTTACCAGTGATCACAACTTAAATCATCCAGCATGTGAAAAGAACTTCGAGGAAAGGCACTTGCTCTTTGTAGATCAGTTTTCACACACCAGTAGATAAACAAACTCAAGTCACTTGTGTTAATCAGGATGTGTGAAAATTATCTAAAATGGAAGTAACCCTTATTACTTTAGTTTCCAGGCATTATACTCATAGTGTACACTTAATATCAAGTGCCTCATGAAATATATTTCTTTAAAAAAACTATTTAACTTTTAAAAAAAGTGTATTACAAACACTTTATGTATCGCACAGCATATAATCACAAGATTTAGTGATTTAGCAATAATGACTTCCCAAAGAACACTTTTTCAAAGACATAATTGGAGCAAAGCATACCAAGAATGAAGTGAGAATAAAGGGCATGAAAAACAACCGGTGGAAAATGTTTCAATTTTTACCAATGCTGTTTTAAGAGAGCGGTGTTTCAGTGAGAGGACCCAACTGCTGTCTGGATTTCTTCCACATATGTACAGTTTTAAAAAATGGTCTATTATGTAGTAGTGAACTTCAAGTTAGAACTGTGAACTGATATTTTCTTCTTTTGCTATCTAGGTTATAATATTAACTTTTCTGAACTTCAGGAATACTCCTGGTGTCTTGAAGATATGGGTGATTAGCATCTTTGTTGACTTCCTTTTTACTTGGGCTATGTTCTCTCCCCCCCCCCCCCATAGACATAATATATATGACCAATTCTAATCTAGTTTTGTACACATCAGTCAATAAAGAGTAGGCAAAAAGACAGAGGTAGAGAAATATTGTGGATTTCTAAAGTGAGACATTACACTATTGGGTTGAAGAATAAATGAATCTGTTGGAATTAGAGTGATTTTAACAGGTATTCTCATTTTTTCTTCTGTTACTATTAGTGACAGCAGGTACTTTTATCTTTTACAGTACAGTATGGGGAAGGCAAGAAGCAACAAGGACTGTAGATGCCTGACTGCATTAAACACACAATGGGACTCATTTCACAAAATGCACATTTTATACAGCACAAGAAATTGTCACCAAAAGCATCACACCTAGCCTTTATTATTTATTTCAAGGATTTATATCCCACTTTTCTCCCACAATGGGATTCAAGGCAAGTTACAATAATTTTAAAAGACAGAGTTAAAACAATGATTGCAAAAGTTAAAAAATAGTTAAATATTACTAATATTAAAACCTACGTTAAAAACAGCACAGTTAAAACCAGTAAAAACCATTAAAACATTGAGACAGCATACCACACTACACAAGTAAATCTCACCAACCAAATGCCTGCATAAATAAAAATGTCTTCAGCTGTGACCAAAAGAGAGCAGGGAGGAGACTGACCTAACTTCCAGTGGCAGGGAGTTCCACAGTCTGGGAGCAGCCATGGAGAAGGCTGTCTCCCAAGTCCTCACAAACTGCACCTGCAAAGATAGTGGAACTGAGAGAAAGCCCTCTTCTGCCAAACTTAGGGGGGAAGCAGACGGGCGGCCATGGGCAGCCCCAGGAAGCTGCGCTGCAGGGCCGAGGTATCCCCACACCTCGGCCCCGCGGTGCAGCTTCGCCGCCCCTGGAAGGGGCGCTAAATTGGCACTCTTTTCACAAGTCGCCGAAGGTGCGCCGCAAAAGGCTGGCGGCACACCTTCAGCGACTCTTCCACTGCAGCGTGTGTGGACGCTGCAGTGGGAGGTCCTCCTCAGAGCGCCGGCTGTGTGGAGGGTTGGCTGCTCCGAGGACGACCTGGGGAAGGGGTTGGGGTGCCCACCGTGCGGCTGCCCCTCCCCTTCCCTGCCCCCAAAACGGCTCTTTAAGCCATCTGCTTCCCCCCATAGTACTTGGGCTGGCTTGTATACGGAGATACAGTCCTTCAGAGAGTTTTGACTCAAGCTATTTAGGGCTTTAAAGGTCAAAATCAACACCCTGAATTCTGCCCAGAAATGGACTGGTAGCCAGTGCAGCTGTTTTAGCAGGGGAGTCACATGATTCCTATAGCCAGCCCCAGTCAACAACCTGGTTACAGCATTTTGCATCCGCTGAAGATTCCTAACAGTTTTCCAAGGGCAGCCCCATGTAAAGCTCATTACAATAACAGGATGTAACCAAGGCAGATGTCACTTTAGTCAGATCGGACTTCTGAAGGAAAAGGTGCAGCTGGCACACTAGTTTTAACTGTACAAATGCACTCCTAGCCACAGCTGAAACCTGGGCATCCAGGCTTAGATATGAATACAGGAGCACACTCAAGCTGTGAACCTGAGATTTCAAGAGTGTGTAACCCCATTCAACACAGGCTGTCCCTATTTATTCCCTTATCTGCCTTCTGATTGACTAGGAGCACCTCTCTCTTGCCTGGATCAAGTTTCAGTTTGTTGACTCTCATCCAATCCATTATTGACGACACTGGTTTAGTACAGAGATAGCTTCCTTGGAGTCAGATAGGAAGGACAGATAGAGTTGGGTGTCATCAGCATACTGGTAACACGACGCCCAAAAACTCCGGATGACTTCTCCCAGCAGTTTCATGTAATGTTAAATAACATGGGGGACAGAACAGAACACTGAGGGACTGCACAGGCCAATGGCTAGGGATCAAACAGGAGTCCCTCAAGACCACCTTCTGAGTTCGCCCCTCCAAGAAGGACTGAAGCCAGTGTAAGACAGCAACCCCAAGTCTCATCCCAGAGAGGTGACCCAGAAGCATATCATGGTCAATGGTATTGAAAGCTGCTTAGAGGTCTAGCCTCTTTTATTATTATTATTTTTATTTTTATTGAAAGAGGTCTAGCCTCTTGTCCAGTTCCCTGCATAGATCATCCAGCTAGACAAACAAAGCTGTCACTGTCCCATAGACAGGCCTGAAGCCAGACTGAAATAGATCTAGACAGTCCGTTTCATCCAAGAACCCCCTAGGAAGCCACCACACCTTCTTGCATGCTCCCTTCTGTACCTCTCTCCACCTGGCCTGGTCAGTGAGCAAGTGAGAGATGCCATTTATGGGAAAGCTGCAACGACACAAGAACTTCACGCCCAACTCCAAATCAGGGAAGAGGAGCAGGGGGAGAGTGGCTGAGAAGTGGGGAGGGAGGGGAGGCATGGGCTGGGAAAGGAAATGGAGAGGAGTGAGGGGAAGGATGATGACACTGATGGATGCAACAGTATCATTCCTAGGAGAAGGTGGCAATGGAGATGTGGTGGAGGCAGAACAATGCAGAGATTTTTGCAGCAGCACTGTCTCTAGCATGCATGTTTTTTTTTAGGGGGGGGGGCTTAAAATATTTTCATATTTCCCACCTTTGCACAGGGGATGCACCCCAACCCTCACAAATATGGGTGACCAACTGTATGCATATATATGTGTGTGTAGACACACCTACATAAAAACATGCACACAGTTAAATCAAGGCAGAAGAAACCAAATGAAAATAAAATTAGCTTCCTCTGGGAAGAAGGGCTATATTACTATGGACCTGGCTAGAAGCAGACTCTCCCATCTCCTAGATATAAAATCTGTAAAAAAAAATTTTTTTTTTACTGATCTGTTTTAAACTCCCATAGACATATACTTTGGAAAATATGTATACAAATGTTATGGGCTCTCAAGGATGTCAAAACAATTTTTTCTACTATTAGTAATTTACTGTAAATTTTCATTATCTAAGACAACAGTAAAACAGTGCTGGATTAGGTCAAAAGAGCTGCACAAGTCTCTGAAATCCACACTCAACTATGGGCCTCGGCAGACGACTAATAGAGTTGTCTCCGAGGCAGGGAAGAGGAGGGGCAGCCGCACGATCGGCG